GCTGAGATTTACATCCAGGCGGTCTGACTGCAACCCCCACTCTCTTAACTCTCGGGTGTATTCCAGTCTCATGAGAAACCCACAACCTCTATGCCTAAAGTGAACAGGAGAGAGGAGCCTTGGGCTAATGCATATACCTGGTCACAAGATGGTTTGGTGGCTTTGTTGAAAAGCACAGTGTTGGATGGATGAGGTGGTTCACGCCTGTAATCCTAGCACTCTTGGGGGCTGAAGCAGGAGGCTCACTTGAGGTCAGCTTGAGCAAGAATGAGACCCCATCTCTACTAAAAATAGAAAAGTTAGCCGGGCATGGTGGCATGCACCTGTAGTCCCAGCTATTTGGGCGGCTGAGGCAGGAGGCTGAGGAAGGAGGATTGCTTGACCCCACGAGTGTGAGGTTGCAGCAAACTACTTGGAGAACAAGGAACCCTCCAAGCTCCAGAGAGGGCAGAGGAGCCATCTCTCTCTTCCTGCAAAAACATAAAGCAAATCCTTTAGTCCCTGAAATGTTTTTTGCTGTCTTCCTAAAGAGGTTTGACAAAGAAAAAAAATTCTGTCTTCTTTATAGTCTTAGACTTTTCCTTAAGGAAAGTGAATTTAGTTTCTACTACATGTGGAGTGCTATGTTTCTCAGACTTCCTCCACTCTACTGGGTCAGAGACCAACGTCCTAACCTTTTGCTGAAATCCCTTGCATAGCCTGTCATTCTCTATCTTTTCCTTATCGTGCACACTGGGGTGTTGTCAGTTTTGCAAATGATATATATGACTGAGTGCTGTGCCAGGTGCATTTCAGAGAGATCTACTCACCTCTTGATTTCGAGGATGCAAGGGTCATACCACATCTGAGCTTAGTTCATTGCAATTGCCTTAAAGGGCATCTGCAGGAAAAAGCACTGCGTCTAGAAGTATCAGAGCTGGGTTCCTGTGTGAGCTGACCAGAGGAGGCAGCGGAGGATCACATGTCTGATGAATACACTCAGCTGCTCCCATGGAATGACCCGGATGGAGGCAGTGACTGCTTAAGGTGAGGCTGGTCTGCGTAGCACAGACCATGGGGTATGTTAGGCCCCTTTCCCCTGAAGTTCTGATATTTGCCTATCATCTTGGGGACCTTGGCAGAAAGCAAGATCACAACTTACATCTCTGCAAGTTCTTTTCTATGTGTGTTCTCCTCCTCCCCCAAGATATGGTATTTTGTAAGCTTTTATAATTTTAAATCAAGGGAATAGTTACACAAATGGGACTGAGAAATATGAGAAATTTCATGAGAAACAACGAATACATCGCCATACGTTCTATCAGTTTCATTGTGGTCAAAAGCAGGTGTTTCCACGCTATAAATAAGCAGTTTGCATTTTCAAAATTAACAAATCGGATCAAAACCAAGGGAAAAAACCAACCATAGACAGCCCACCAGAGAATTGTTTACCAAAGAAGATGAAGCTCATGGCGATGGTTTGCAAACACCACGACTAGCTTGTGTAAATTCCCTTCGTTTAGTCATCATTCTTCAGCCTGTCACAGATATTGAAGGGAAATGCAGAAACAGGAAATTACAGACTATTTTAAACAGCATGTTTTATTAAACTCACTTGCTGATGCACTTTATGGCAGGATGCGAGATTCAAATGTTCATAACTTAACATCTTTGCAAGTGCTTTTCCTAAGTGAGTTCTCCCAGCTAAATTATGGCATGTACCCAGGGCTGGAAACAATCTCTAAACTAGTAACTGTTTCACCCCAGGTCATGTAGCTATATCACATAAAATGGAGAAGTTTTAGCCTTGCGAAGAGAATATACCTTGCTTTTGCACTATAACTCTAAGAAAGCAATGGAGGCATCTGGTAGTAACTTAAAAGATGCTTAATGCATTTATTTTAAACCACAGAATCAAAACACAGTGGTCTTAAAATGAATTACTAGAAATCATACATTGTCTCTTCTTTTACTATTTAAATACTGATTTCATTCTTCTCTTCATGGGATAGTTCTGCATCTAATTTAAACCATCATTGCTTATGCCATGCTGAATCCTTGTCTTTGAAAAAGCCTAGTAAAATTGGCAGGGATGTGGTAACCTTAACTACAAATGAAATGATTTCAAATTTAAGGGGCTGTCATAAAAATGGAAGTTAACAGCTAATTATTTGCAAAAGCATTTCCTGCTCGCAGTAAGTTTGAAGGGTATAAAAGCCTAGCTGCATCAAGTAAGAATCCTTAAATCCTTGTCTAATATTTGTTGTGAAGTTGATGTCTAACATCCATGTCTTCTACAAGTTGTTCTCTGCTCTCCTGATCCACAAGATACATCAAGAGAAGCTGCAATACGAGTTCAAAACTGGAGGGGTGGGCAGCCATGCTTTGATGGAGTCAACTACGAGCTCTAAAAATAAATACTTTCATTCAATTGCTTCGGCATTTGTTTAACAAAGTGGCATGTAAAATGTTCTAAATTTCTATTGTCTTAATCAAAGATCATGCTAAAGATGCTTTACCCTAATTATAGATTGGTTGTCAGATAGTGGCTTCTACTGGTTTGGGGTTTTTCTACCTGCCTCCCATGCCCCTGCAATTGTGTTCCTAGGAGCCCCTCAAGGTGAAGTACAGAATAATAGGATTTTAAGAGTGGAAGCATATACTGATGATACCTTTGCTTTTTGAAAATGGCTTTGCCAGACCATCTTCTACAATTAGCCCCTTTAGAAAGGAAGGACCAGAGGCAAATGTTAATGATTTGATCAATGACAGGCACCCAGTTGTCTAGGGGACTCGCAATGAAAAGCACTCTTGGGGGAGCAGGGCCACTTTCTTAAGGGAAAGAGTTCTCTTTCGAAAGTCTGAATTCTGTCATATCAGGTTTTCCTTAATGCAGAGCACAGCAATGAGAGAAGGTGCTACTTTCCAGGCGGGTATATACAGCAGTGTGGGGTGGAGGATGTCTTAGCTTTTCCAAGTCTCTCAAGATAAAACTACAGAACCCAGTTAAGAGATTTCACTTCTTATGAAGAGGTGCATTGGCCACTCTGGAAAAATCTAACTTAATAGCTCATGAGTAGAACAACAATGCTGGGTGCATAGGAGGTGAACATAGGAGGTCCTAAAGCTCTCACCTACTAACAACAGGAAAATTTTTGTAATTTGAATGGGTGTTTAGGGATGTGTGTGTGTGTGTGAAGAAAAAGAATGTTTTACTATGCTAGAAATGTCCTAGAAACAAAAACGTGATGACTAAATATAACCGATTTTTATGCTGCTGGATTCAAAGGCGCCACTCATCCTGCAAAATCAATTCTAGTGGGTTCTACCGAACAGGTGTGCGAGCCCACAGCTCAGGTGTGTGCTGTTGAAAGTCACCACCTCCATCATTTTACAGCTTTGGCCATCAAGCAAAACAGTATCTGGTAATGTTGGGGGCTTTTAAAAAGCAAAAGGATAAGTCCTTTCTTTCATATTTAAATCTCCATGAGGTATTATACTCATAATAAGAATGCTACATTTGACAAATGAATTAGCTTTCAACTAGCTTTCCCACTTTATCAAATGAAATATTAGCTTCTAAGAATAACATTAATACAGAATTGTACGGAATACTACTAACGATAATCTGTAGCTGTTATAAACATTTACATAGGGATCATCTTCTTAACAATTTGACATTTCATAAAGGAATCAGCTAATAAGATTCAGTATTTATGGTTTCATGTTATGCAATTTTTTTCAGAGACTTTCTCAAAAGTCTTTACATTTGTTCAGATATAACCTTACTGATCACCACATCATCCATTAACATTGTGCTTCTTAATCAACAGAAATTTAAACTTGTAAACTAGGACCATTCTAAAACACTTGCCAGATTGGCTTCTTAAAGTATTCTTTTATTTTGAAAACTCCTGTGTGGTCCCTGTCCACAACAGTTCCTAGACATATTGAGTTTTTTAAAGGAGAATAATGGAAAAGAGAAACATAGCCAATAGCCATTAAAATTAAAAAAAAAATCTTAATAATTTTGATCATTTTAATAAATATATATCAAGAAAACCTCACTTTATTACAACACATTCATATACAAGCATCTATCATCTAAGTTTTCAACATCAAATGTTTATCAAATATTGAAAATAAAGGACAAAACATTACTAGACTATTTAGCTATAACACAAGAACATATTTTAAAAATTGGTCCTTGTGGACAATTGTCCAAATGATCCTACTCATACACTGTATGAATGAGACCTATATTTAATATTAATAGCAATAATTAAAAAAAAGCTTTATCTTGGAGAAACTGGGAGGACTTACTTATTTCCTCCATTTGGCATTTGGTTCCTGTGAAGTATTGTTTAAAGAGGTCCAAGTCAATTAGTGAACTTGGAAACTCGAATATAGTTTAGCAGGAGGAGTTGGTTGGAGTGGGAGGAAGGCTGATAGGAGGGCCACTCTGAACACTTTTCAAACGCACAAATTAAAGGTATTATTGAGAAAAATGTTGACCAAATACACAGTAACTATCACAGATTAAGTCCCATTTCTCCAAAATAACTTTCCCAAAACTAAAATCTTTACATTCTTTAAGATAAACCTCATTGATCACCACATCATTTATTAACATTGTGCTTCTTAATCGACAGCAAAAGTCATATATAAAAAACCACATGCTTTTATAATCTAAACGAGTGAAATGATGCAAAACAGATTAAAGTATAACGCATGCCACTGGTTCATGAACTTCGTTGGACAAGAAAACAAAACAAAACAACCCAAAACCCAGAAAACCCAAACCCCAGCAACAGACCGTTGCCATAGAAAAGCTCAAGCAGCTAGTGCTGGTTTCTAACAGCTCTCTACATTGTTTCCTCCATCCCTATCGAAAAATGCCAAATCCAAAAGCAATTGGGCATCAAAAATAAAGAATAGAGATGTCGAATCAAAGGTTGAACACAATAGTTCAAAGTTAACAGTTTCCAAACCATATTGATCCACCCTGTTTTTTTTTTTTTTCCTGTTTATCAAATCCCTGCTATAACTCTGATTTATCCTTAATTTTCACACTGGCAAAAATTAAGTTTAAGTAAGGCACCAAAAATCGCCCTGTATAACACCTCTCTAAAAGCCTCATCACCTATCACAGGCAAGCCAGGAACTTGCAGGGAATACCCTCTTTGCAGACTGTTGACTGCCGCCCCTAGACAGGTGTGTTTTATTATGTTACATCCTATTTTCATCTGTCACAAAAGACTGTTAAATACAAATACTTAACAGCACCATGAAGCCATTTCATCTAGCTCCCTGTCTTCAGTCTTTTATTTAAAAAAAAATACTGTATCATACAGAAGAAGCAAACATCTTTGCTGGTTATACTGATTTGCTTACCAAACAACTACCAAATTAATTGGCAAACATGTTGGAATTTCTTAGCTAGTGACAGGTTCCCTGGGGGGAGGCAATGGAAATATCACAAGGGCACATTGTCCCCCAATCTAATCTATTGATCTTTCCTGTAAGAAAACTAAGATATACTTTTAAGCATGAAGTCAACTGTTTTCTTGGTAAAATCACATTTATAAGTAGCTCGCTGATGCCTACTATACAGATGTTTTATGCAATCTGCTCTCCAGGCGTTAAAATGACACGGCATGTTCATGGCATAATTTTATCAGTTGTACAAAACTATAAAATCCATTCAAAATAAAATTTACGAGAGCTAATTGATCATGCTGTGCATGCTTCAAAGTTTCCGTGAAAAGATGGCTTATATTTTACTCCCTTTGCTGCAGCACAGTTTGTTACTTGGTGAAGGCTCCTTTTTCCTTAAGGACTTTTTCCAAGACTCACTTATATTGTTTCTTTCATTATATCCAGTCTCGAAATAATCGTAAAATTGGCCTTTGCACTCAAAAGCAAGGTCATTTCCCACGGGTTCATGGCTGAGGGGGCCACCCTCTCTGTTGGTGTCATTATTTGCTTTCTCATCATTTAATTTGGCCTTTTCCTGGATACCAAGTGACCTGACATTAGTAACAAAGATTTCATTGGGGGGTATCTGGCCATCGCTCTTGTAAATAGGTGCACTGCCTACATCAAAATCCACCTGGTGGGAACAACTTGGTAAAGGCAGAGGGGGAGAGGAAGAGGAAGATGAGGAAGAAGAAGAGGAGGAAGAGGAGGCAGCGGTGGAGGCACTTCCGACATTGGCGTTGACAGAAAGGGGTAAATTTAGGTAGTGGCCGCCACATTCTTGGTAAAAGCAGCAGGCATGAAACTTTTCACACTCCTCCTTGGCCATCCGTGGTCGCTTCCGGTAAGGACAGTCTTGAGCCATAAACCACTCTTGGGCAGAGGTGCCATTGAACGAGCAGGCAGGGAAGCACCAGTTATTCTGCATGATAATTTCTCCGTGGATTCTTTTCATCAGATTGTTTATAAGGACAGATCTTCGGAGGTACACCTCAGGATCATCGATAAACTTTAGCTTTTCTAAGGACATATAAAGGATGTGGGCTCGTTCCTCAAAAATTGAGATGGTCTAAAAACCAAAACAAGGAAGAGAAAGCTTAGGAAATGGACGATATGAAAATATCATCCCAGCACGTTTCTTTCTTGGCAGTGTCTGGGTGTAGGAATGCTGTGGTCTTGTTTCCACAGGGTTCCTTCAGAGATGCTGTCCTCAGTGGTGCTGACACCCCCCTCCCTCACCTGGCTGGAGTTCCCACCCCCTTCCTGACTCACTGGTGTGCTCAAGCACCAGGGATTCCAGCCCCATGCAGATCTCAGCAGGGATGGGTCAGATTTTCAGTCTTTTATGGCCCAGTGAGGGAGATGCTGAAACACAAGACTAATCTAAGCTGTTAGAAGTCAGGAGAGCAGTGACTTTGAGGGGCAGGGCAGAGGGGTGGTGACTAGAAGCAGGCACAAGGAAGGATTCTGGTTGCTTGGTCATGTTTTGGTTCTTGACCTGGACATTAGTTACATCGGTACAATCACTTTGTGACATGTATCAAGCTGTACTATGATACTTGTACTTTTTTATGTGTGTGTATGCACATACACATGTACACACAGACACATACACTCACACACTGTACATCCATAAATGTTTTTATAAAGATGTCAAGGTGCAAGTCATAATGAGAATACTTCAAACCCTGGTCTAACCATCAAGAAGTAGGAGTTTTGGCTTTTGGTGCTGTCTCTCTTTAATGCCCTGGATTTCCTACTTGCAATTATGCTTGCTTGGTAAGAGGACAGCAGAAATGAATGAGGCTCAGACCCTGACTGGTTCTGTCAGTTGAAGGACCAAAGTAGGCTTCCTTTTCGGACCGGGCAGGAGAAGAGATGCAGAGAGGAAATGAGAGGACTCACTCCTGAGCTGTGTGATACTGTCTCTGTGTGATGGTTGGTGCAAATCCAATAGCAATTGGAAAACTGCTACAGCCACAACACAGGAACTAAAAAGGAAATCGACTGCTTGTGTCCTGGGGACCAGCTCTTCCAGGTCACATAAAAAGCAAACTGGCTGCATAACCTGAAGAGCTGTGAACTGAACCAGCCCAGACTGACCAAAGGCAGGAACTACACATGCAGGGAAAAGCTCAGCACCTGCCAGTGGATGCTGATGTCTTTTATGAGCAAGGTAAAAGCAACATCTAAAGGATGCGGTGGCAGGGTGTGGGAGAGGGCAAGAGGAGACAGACAGGAAGATGAATTGAAAATCTCTCTGTGTTTCAGACAACCGTGGTTTGGGGTTATACCCCTCCTTGATTAAATCAGCAGATAGTGGGTTTTTTTTTTTTTTTTTGAAAAAAGGTAACCATAAGGAAAAAAGAACCGATATTTTAAAAGCTTAGATGCCCAGATTCATAATTCCATACACTTTCCCCATCCTATTATTTTCTTACTACACATGCAAAAAAGTTAGCTTTGGTCCTTTCTTGGGAATGAATTCTGTATTTCAGCAAACTTAACATACGTAACGAATGGCCAATGAAGTGCGTGTTTCTAGGCGCATGCACACTTTCAAGGCTACTCTTAAGAGGTCAGGAAAAGCCCTGTTGTCACCAGCCCCATGTGGACACACCTGGAAGTAGCACTGGCCACAGGAGCTAGAGCTCAGACTGGGGAGAAACCACAGGAAAGAACAAGTGCATTTCCCCACACGTGACAGTGCAGGAGAACCTTAACCCTACATGCAACCTGAGAAATATTAAATCCTAAGTAAAAAAAAAAAATTCCTTGGATTATATAATTTTGTTATTTCTGGGTAAAAGAGCTCTTGCTGGCTTTCTCTTCAAGTACTTGTGAAAAATAACACAGGACCCAAAAAAGTGACAACGATTAATGGGGTTCTACTGAGAAGTGGCTCATTTTCATTGCTTGGGCGAAACAATTTAAATTCTGGAAATGGATCAAGCAACTGTTACTAAGTATCTTAAACTCAATAAAAATAATGACTATTAAGAAAACATACTTTATGGCTACAGCTGCTGAGTGGTGGGTGAAAATCCTCTTCTTCCACATACTTCCTCTTAAAGTATGTGATCTTGGATGTTGTTATAGGATTTGAAATTCCCCTGTAATGTGATCCTGTGGTAATAAATCAGATATGACAAATGACATGTGGTTTGCCAGAGGTTCTCCAAACAAAATACTTTTCTTTCCTTTCCTTGTAGAGGATAACTTGGCTACATATTTGTCTGTACATGTGATGATTAAAAATAAACATTTGTCTTAATAGTTGCTATCATACGGAATCCTGCAACCCCGGCGAGGCAAAGATTTCTAGGCAATTATAGAGGAAAATGACATATTTCGGCATTTACTGAATACTCAGGATCTTAATTCAATGCACAGGCAAAGAGCAAAATTCATAAAGGGGAGGAGTGTAATTACTCTGAAATATATTAGTATTTATTCAAATTGTTTAATTAAATCCATGGTAACATAACACCACTGTTCAAATGTGTACATCTTTAACTGTAACCACTGATAACCAAACAACTTAAAAATATTGGCTCTAAGTTAGTAAACGAATGGTTGTCTGCACCTTGGAACTATGATATTCCTTCTTTCAAAACATGAAATTTAAATATTTGACATTTAAAATTAAAATTTGGGGTAACTAAAGTCCTTTTCACTCTCAAAACAGTAACATGTAAACCACGAATAAAAGTAGGATCTAATGTTTAAAGAACACAGTTATTAATCCTTTTTTAGCAAAACAGACATCATCGAGTATTTGTTTTGTATTTTTTTTTTTTTGAAAGATAGCTAGTACCACACAAAATCCAAAGGAACTTAGTCTATGAGAAGAACGAATCAGGAAGAACATATTTCTATTTTCTCAGCTTTACAAATTTTTTCCTACAATACCAAAGCCAATTGTGTACTTAATAAAAAGAAAAGGCACATAGCTGCTGGCCCAAAGGGCAGATTCCTTTTTGTGTCAAGGGATAAAGATTTCATTTTCGAGCCCACCAGGACTTTCGTAGCTCTGAGAGAACCATACGGTCCTACAGGGTAGAAAACCAAAACCCAAACTCAGAGTTTCAATGTCTCGTATGGGTCTCTTATAAATAAAGACACAAGACTTACGAGCAAGCAGCAGCACAGGTAGATGCAGGGTTGAAAGCAATTTAAAAATCACCTCTGGTCCTTTCCCTGGAGCCCTGGACTCGTTTATGAGAGGGCCACAGGCAGTCTGGGAAGTCCCTGGGGCATTAGCCCTTTTCTCAGCTCAGAAGGGCACCCCAGACACCACCTCCCATCCGCCAGTCTGGCCACAGAGGGCAGCAGGGCAAGGCCAAGGGCAATACCTGTCAGTGGCGGACCAGCTCCCCGGTCTCCCTGCAAAGGAGTCTGTGCAGGCCCTGGGGGGCTCGGGCCTCCGTAGCTGTCAGCCTCCCATAGTGTCTGGTACCCGGCAATTTCAGCAGCTCCTTCCGAGACAATGGGCTCGCAGAATCTATTCATGGACAGAACCAGAGTCATCTCTGACAGCCTCAGATCTGAAAAAAAAAGAAAGAAAGAAAAAAAAAAAGAAAACAGAAAACAGCCCTAATGAAGAGCAAGCCTGGGGATGGCCTTGGCATCTTCATTCCTTTGCTTTGGGAAACTTTTACTCCTCGGCCCTCCCCTTCACCCTGAAACATTTTATTATTTTTCCAAAGGAAACCTCAGCAAACTCTCCTGCTGCTATTAGCTCAGCCTCTGTGTTCAGCAATCTGCATTTCATGGGCGGATCTTTAAAACCCCATTTCTTATTGTTCTCACATTCCCCTCAGCCCTCTTCCAGACAGCTGCTTTGCCTCTGAACACATTTTCCTCCTGACCTTCCCGCAGAAAATGTACCGCTAAGAAGCCAAAACCCTTGCGCTTCCTTTCTATTAATAAGGCAAAATCAATTTTCTAGTCAATCCCCTGGGAGTCTCTTTTGATGAAATCCACTAATCAATCAGAAGAAAGGGGCGGGGGAGGCAGAAATCTCCACCGTAATTCCAACTGATGCTCTGAGGTTCAGTCTGTTCCGCTGCCCCTACACCCTCCTCCTCCTCTCGTTTCCGCGGGCCAGTTCCTCTACAACATTCTGGGGGTCCCTCCACTTTCTTCTCCCAAAGCAAAGCAGACAGAGAGACACTTGGTAGTTGTTTCCACCAGCCCTGATCGGCCTGAACTGGATCTGCCTCCAGTCAAAACACTGCGAGATGAAGACAGAAAATTGGCTCCAGTTTCAAGCCGTGAGTTGCAGTCCCACAGGAGCCAAGCACAACATCAACGGAGCAGGCAGAATATTAAACAGGAGCCAGGGCTCTGGGGCCAGAGGCAGCCAACAACTCTTTACACTGCAAAGCCCAGACACAAGGCAGGAACTTTCCAAGAGGCAACACATCACTGCCCTTCTCCGCGGTTCACTCCCTTCCCTTAGGCCTGCCAGGAGATGCTCTCTGCTCTGTGATGCTCCCTGGGCCCGTCCAAAACTCAGGCAGTGGGGCCACTTCCATGGGGCTCAGTGTCTTTACTTGGTCCAGTGCAGGGCTCAAGGTAGGGTCAAGAGTGAGTTCAAGGGAGAAGAGAGTCTGATGTTAAAGTAAAAGGATTTAGGGGCCATAGACTGTGGTGACAGTGGTGACAGCAGGGCAGCCTCAGTGCCTTGTTAACTGCCAATTCCTTTAGGAGACCCAAACCTCCACTATCTCACTTTGCGGTTTAAAGAACTGTCATAAAAGTGATGTCAGGCTTGCTTCCTGAAGATTGATTGTCTTTCAAATATACACTAGGGGTCTAGTTCTTGCTTTCTTTTTCAAATTATACAGCTTGTAATGTTTTCGGGAAAGGGCGAATCTATCATTGTCTTGTGGGAGACTATTATTACCTACATGCTATAAAAAGGGTCTACTTCCAGGTAAAAGGAGGAAGACCACCAGAGTATAGCTTCATTAAAGTGACAATATCCTGGCTAACAGAGCAGCTCTTAGCAGCAGTGACTCTATTTTTCACTGAGTCTTCTCTCTGAGGTCTCAAATTCTGTCCCAATCCCACTGAATAATGAAGCAAGACCTTTTGACAGGCCGGGAAGGTGTCCTGGTCAGTAGGTGGAATTAGGAGCCAGCTGATTTGGGCTGCTAAACCACCTTTCCCTTCTAAGATGTTCTCCAAAGAGACATCAGAAGGACTTATTAGAAAATCTTACTACAAGAGAAAAAAAAAAAAAAGGTTAAATTAATTTTTCTCTTTGAATCGTCAACCAAGAAATTTTATCTACACTGATTTAACAAACTAAGCTATTCTGCCTATCACCCCTCAAATTCCACGTCCAAGCAAGGTAAAACACTTCATGATGATTTATTCCCTGGAAGATTCTCATGAAATGGTCCAATTTCCTAACCTATTCTAAAGACAATTGTATCAGATGTTATTGCCAGGAGCACACGAATTACAGCTTTTTAATAGAATCAGTAGCCCTTTCTTATTGAGGGAAGCAACATTCTCCAGCTTGAAATTTACACTCACTTGTGTGCTGGATTCTGGGAATAAGATCCAAGCCTTTGCCTATGTAGAATTTTATTACATATAAACAAAAGCAGGTTGACAAACTCATGTCCCTTAAAAACGAAAACCATTTGCAGGCCCCTAGCAACAATTACCTTTGTTTAATAGGACATTATATGGGCCCTGTGCTGTTTTATGTTCGTCAGAGTTTGTTTACATTTTAATGACTTTTTGGTAGTAGCTTTTTTGGTTGTTAAGGATGTCAGTGTTTCTATTTGTTAGCATTGTTGCCAGCATATGAAATTCTATCATCATGCATTTGAACTTGAATCGTGGCATAATAGTTCTTAGCTGTTTCTTTTGTTTACAGTATCTAATTTCAGTAAGTTTTTCTTTTTTAAACTGGAAACTGCTACACACAAAATCCTAAACCAGAAAGGCTGAGTTCTTCAAGTGATTTATGTAAATCTGAATAAAACATGAATGGGTTGGGATTATCTGGGAGTGGGGAGGAGATTTTGCAACTGAGTCTTCCTAGTCTGTTTAGAACTTACACTGGGATGTTAACAAATTAAGAAGGCAAGTTTAATGATCACGAAAAATTCAACGGTGCAGTGTTAAGCACCCATGTTTAACATGAATCTTTGTATTATATGTAGAGATCCAAACTGTCATTCTCTGTATGATCAGATTTACATTATAATTCTGTGACTGAATTCAGAAGTTCAAGTCTACAAATGCATGTGCTGTGAATATTAAACATACACAAAGATATATATTACAGCAAATTTTGTTTTCTTAGCACCAGAGGTGATCTCGGATTAAAAACGAGAGTGTGAAAGTGTGTTTTGTCTATGCACGGGTTTAAAAAATGTAAAAAGCGCTAACCCTTTATCCTTAGGTTCCTGTAAATCTGTTTTGTCGCCCAAGTAGATGCAGTGGATGACACCTCAAGCATTCCCAGAAGGCTGAGGGATAAAATGTCAAGCTTCTCCAGCAACTGTTCACAGTAAAGTTACCAGGCATTTCTATACGATTTGGTTTTTCAAGAGAGAGTTGGGCTTGCCCTTTCCCCGGAGCCATTATGATGCTAATAGGAGTGGCTGGCACACAGAACTATGAATTCAGTGGCACCTTGAATCTGACAGTGGACTCCTGGCCATTCTTTACCTATCCCTCCTCCCACCTGTCTTTGGATATTAGAGAGCATTGTATTAAGAGCGTTATAACAGGTAGAAGTCCGATTCCAACACTGGGAAGCAGGGCAGTAAAGTGCTGGTATTCCCAATGCACCACCGATGCTGCCAGTCGTAAAATGTTCTGCCCAGGTGGAACCAAGCCCCTGACCTCCACATGGTCCCAACCATGATCGCAACAGCTAGTACGGCTCGCGGAGGAGGTGGAGGAAGGGTCTGGATGGGCGGAACAAAATCCTTCACCCCCTTCTAGACAGACAGATGTCGCTTTTCTGCCGGTCCCTGCAGTACACCTGTCTGCTCTGGGAAGTGCATTTCTCAGCTGCAGCCCCGCGAGGCCAAAAGCTTTAGGCGGGTCCTGGGGCTGGGGATGCGAGCGCTGGGCCTAAGGAGCACCGTGGGGTGCCGGGGTGTCCCAGCACCATGCGGGCTCTCTCCAGCCCAGGCCCAGTAGGGGGTGGGTCCGCGGCTTGCAGGGCCGACCCCCTGCAGGCGGGCGGCAGCCAGCACGTCCGGGCTCCCGCACAGACACAGCCCCGGGGTCGGTGCCGCAGCCCCGCAGCCCTCTCGCGGGTAGCCAGCAGCGCCTGGGCGGCCGCCGGCCGCAGGAGAAAGTAAACAACACCCAAGTGTCCGGGAACAAAGGCAAGTTGTCTTCACAGTGCGGAGCCGTGTGCCTCTTCCGAAGAATAAGAGCTATTATTACTCGTTGTGTCTTATCCTTTTTTTTTTTTTAACCAAGTTTCCTTCTAAGGGAAATAAACACCAAAGGTAGGATTCCAAGGAAATGACTCACGGCGGCTGGCAGGGCTCTGGCGAGGCTGGCCCGGGCCCCGCGCTCCAGCCCGCAGCGGTGCCCGCCGGCCCTCCCTCCCTCGCCGGCCGAGCCCACGGGGAGCCCGCGGCTGCCGAGTGCCCTGCGCGCCCGTGGGACCCGGCGGCGTGGACGCCTCCCTGGCCCCGCGGCCGCCTCTCCCCGCCTTCTGCGGCCGCAGCCGGGCACTCGGGAAAGTTGCGAGGGCCGAAGAGGCGGGAGGGGAGGAAGGGAGGAGAGAGGCGGAGGCGTGGAGCAGGCGGGCAGCAGCCTCAGCCCGCCGGGGAGGTGAGCTGAGGACAGAGGAGCCGCCGCCGCCCGCAGCGCGGCTCGGCTGCCTGGGAGGAGGGTGCGGGGGCGGAGGTGGCGGGGGACAGAAGGTGTCAGCTCCCGCATCCATTCCTTTTTCTCACAAACGCGCGCTCCTGACATCCACGATCTCTCCCTCCCCACCTGCCAGGCGCCGCGGCGTCCAGACCCGGGGGCGTCCCTTCTGCTGATCCCCGTCCCCCGGGGTGAGGGACTAAGCGGTCACCGAGGATCCTAAGGTCTCACCGGAGCTGCGGTCCCCACCCGCCCCTGGAGTCGGCTCGGCGCGCGCGGGTGGCAGCCCGAGCAGCCCCGGAGGAGGCGGCGGTTCCCGCCCTGGAAAAGCCCGCGTCGCCTCCGGGTCCAGCTGCGCCCTGGCCCGCCCGCCGCGCCCGTCCCGCTCGGGCCCCGGGAGTCCACTCGGTGACCCCGGCGCTGCCCTCGTGCCAGGAGGCCGCGCGGGAGGCCGCGTGGGTGCCGGTCCGCGCGGGCAGAAGCCCCGGGGGACCTCTGCCCTCCACCCGCCCTGGCCCTCGCCCCCGCGGCCGCGCGCAGCTCGGCTCTTACCGCGGGGTCAGCGGGGAGGCGGCGGCCGCAGCGCCAGAGCTGCCGCTGGTCCGCCCCGGGCTCGGCGCCAGCCCGGCCGCCGGTGCACACTCGCGCCGGTCCCGCCCCGGCGGCCCGGTCGGCGCTGGCCGCTGGTGCGCGGCGGGCTGGGGTCCCGGCAGGTCCCGCCGCTGCGACTGGGGCGCTGCGCCGCCGTCGCCGCAGACGGTTATGGTAATGAGCGGCTCTGTCTAGCGAGGAGCGTGTGAAACCCGTCAATCCTGTTTGCCATTTCCCCGTGGATTTCCGAGGAGAGGTTCTGCAGGATGCCCCCAGGGTGAGAGAGGGAACATGACAAGCGCGCCCGCTCTCCCTCCCTCCCTCGCTCTCCTCCCGCCGCCGCTCCTCCGGCAGCACACGGGGCGCCTTCCCCGCACCCCCACCCCAGCCCGCC